ATTGTACTGACCAATTTTGAAATTTATGAAAAATCACAGAAAATGTAAAATGGCCAACTTTGACGGCACGCCAAAGACACGCCCTTCAACGTAGAGTCACAAATATTCAGCGGGTCAAAAATGCAGCAAATTAAAGTTCTGAAAAACAATAATAATAATAATTTTAGCAAAAACAAAAGAGACCTCAGTGTTTGACACTGTGAGGTTTCTAAATATATTCCACAAGCTTTGCAGTGTTAGCTCTGACTTTCTACCAATGTAATTCAGTTGGTACCTTTAAAAGTATGAAGATGAGAACGCAACCCTGCAAATGTCTTCTTCTTCTGTGGTTTAATGGCAGCAGCCAATCAGCTCACACACAAACATTGTCTCAGCTTTTATTTTGAAGGTCTTCGGGAGATTCAGTGAATATGTGAGCTCCGTCTGTCAGCTTGTTTACGTCTCGGTTTCTCCTGCAGGACGAACCCAGCTCAGTCTGCACCTGCAGAGGGGCGGGGCCACTGCCTCCAGGGGGCGGGGCCAGAGCAAAGTCAACGTACCAACCAGGAAGCAGCTGGACGCACAGCTGGATGAGTACATGTCCATGTCCAAGAGCCGGTTGGACAAACAGCTGGACGACTACATGTCCATGTCCAAGAGCCGCCTGGACGCTCAGCTGGATGAGTACATGTCGATGGCCGGACAGACGGACCTGGACTGGGACTGAGTCTGAGAGAGACCGGCTCCCAGACTCAGTCCCGTTCAGTGACTGAAGCTTAACAGTTACAGTTAACAGTTATTGACAGTTATTGGTGCTGATGGATGGTGAGGATTCGTCTCTCTTTTTAGTTTTGTCTCTCAGGTGAGTTTCAGGTGTTGAAGCAGGAAGTGTTTGTTTGGTTTGTTCACCTGTTTATGTTGTGTTTTTGCTGTCGCTGTGACGGGGCCGTGTGTACTTCACTGACCTCTCTGTATGTTGGAACTTCTTTATATCGGTCTGTTACTGAGGCTCCACTTTTGTTCCCAACATTTAAATATATTTTAATAAAGATGAGACCTGCTACCTGTTAGCTTCAGGTGTTCTGGATGTTCACTGTACTTCATCTATCTGACAACTACTCACCTCGTTTGTGTTTGTAAACAGTGACGATGTATGTTGTGGGCGGTGTTCAGAAGCTTAACCAGCCACCTGCAACCCAACGAAGGTTAGTTTAGTTTGTTCAACCAACCAGATCAGCCCGGGCGTTTGGATGAAGCTAGCGGACGTTAGGCAGCCGGCGCCTCGTACGTTATTCAGTGTGGTAACGGTCTTTCTAACATTATCCAGCATAATGGGACAATATTCAGGCTTTAAGCTCGAGTGTAAGACAAACTACGGTGGTTCTGTCCAGATCCAGACATCCAGCATGGCGGACTCCACCAGAGAGGACCCGATCCCTCTGTAGATACAAACGTCTTATTCTAACAAACATAAGGATTCTTATTATGAGCTGATTAAACACTAAGGAAAACATTATAATACATTATTACACATTTAACGCATTAAGGATCTTTTATGATCAGTTAATGTAATAATATTAACTTTAGATTCAGGACAATATTCTTTATTTGGATCCACAATGTCGTCTCTAGTCTTCACACTACATAAATAATAACAATACTCAGCAGTAACCTCTAGTTCATACGCTTCTTACAACAAGAAGTTTCTATTCTCATTAAATAATAAAATAAATGAAATACATTTTTTAAATTGTAATTTAATTTAAATGTTCAATTGTGACATTTTATTTTATAAAATGATTGAATTATGAATAAAACACAGACTTAATGTTTGTTTTACTAATAATGACATAAATCTTTATTATTGATTATTGATATCTTAGTGTTTCCTCCCTGAGCTCTGATTGGCTCCCGTCAGCTGTCAATCACAATCCTGGGTTAGGGTTAGGAAGTCAGAGGTCAGCATGTGTCCTTTAATCCGACCAATCGGGCGCTCTCCTCCCACAGCCTCCTCGCCACCTCGTCGTCCTGTCCCTCTGGAGCCGCTTCCTTCTCCGCACAGTCGCTGAAAACAAACCCAATAAACTGACTTTGGTGGTTTATGAGGACGTCTGTTATTTCTCTGGAGCCCAACAATGGAGGACGCCAGCGTAGCATGTTAGCTGTGTGACATTATACAACTCTAATAAATAATAAATATATAAATAATAAACTGGATACTTATTGTTCTGTTAGCGACTCAGCTGAAGACCCCTCACGCTAACTGCAGCGAACAGAACACTGCCCGGTGCTCTGAGCTCCGGTCCGACCGCTCCCCCCCACTACTCTACCTGAAGTACCGTCCGGACCGTCCCTCCAGGCCCGGCGTCACGGCGCAGTACACGGTGGTCTGACTGCCCTGGCTGGGGGTCTTCATGAACAGCAGGGAGGGGAGGCTCAGCAGCGCCCTCAGGAATGGGAACCAGCCCTCAACGTGCCGACCCAGTTCGGTCCGGATCACACCCGGGTGGAGACAGAACGACGACACGCCGGAGCCTGGAAGAGACAGCGAGGTCAGCGTGAGGAGGTCGAAACAACCGGTTTACTGCTGCGCTGCTAACCGGCTAACGGCAGCAGGTACAGGGTCAACCTGTCGTAACGTCACCCAACAGTTTGTAAAACGGAGCCAGCGGATTTGACGTAGCAGGAAACATTGGCGTCTCTCCTGCTCACACAGGATCTGGTATTCCAGAGAAACAGTAAAATGTGTTTGTGAACAGATTTGAGGAGAGAAATAGTCAACAACAGAATCTGGATCCAGATCTGATCAGCACTGTTTGACA